TTAATGAAACTGGGAAAATCTTTATTTGCAATTTTATCATTCTGTTTTTATTATTACTACTATTGCTATTAAAATAATAATCTAGTTTGGATTAATTTGGGGCCTGATCTTGTAGAGGGCTCAGATGTCTAAGCTTAAACTTTTATTTAATTTTGCTTCACTGGGAATGCTCAGCACCACTCAGCACATGTTCAGCAGCTGAAGATTTAGAGCTTCCTCATGTTAATTAAATTCAGGCCATATTTCCATTATTTTTTACCTCTCTAATAGCTTTTCCTTTGGACTTTGTTGTCAGGACATTTTCTTCTGACCTTGCATAGTGTTATTCATTTCCACATATCCTCATCAACATACACAAAAAGGATCGTTCCTGTGGTCTCAAACTGTGAGTTTACTCATTGCGCAGTGCTCAGTGGATGTAGGGGGTCAGGAGTAGCCCATTTAAGAGCGCTTCATTAGCAGAGTGAACAACAACCTAAAAGAAACAAAATTAGGGCAACCCTCCAGAACCAACAGCTGCCATTATAGCCGCTCCACCATAGGAGTCTTTAACAAGCAACTGCAGATTCCTAATGAAGAGACTGTAAAAGATAAACAGGAAAATAATTAGCAAGAAAAAGATGTTCTGTTCCTAATGTTTTGCTTTAAAAGATTGTGTCTGAAATATTTCAGGGAAGCATATACAAAAACTGTACTAGCAAGGATGTTGTACCAATTCATTTCTAAAATGCTGAATTAGTATAAATTCATACTAGTCTTAGAAAATCTCCTATTTTTATTTCCAGTTGTGAATATTTATGAGGATCAGAATGCTTAGTTTGTCCTGTACATTCATTCGGTATTAGCTTATCATTTTATAAATTGACAAATTCATCATTATGCATCAAAATACTTTTAAAATAACCAAAAAATTAAAACATTTTGGGCAGAATGTTAGATTCTCTGATATAAAATGCAAGAATTCTAGTGTAGGAATGCAGACACATACCTTTTTTTTTTTCCCAAAATTTGTTAAAGGGCAGCAAAAGCTCTGAGAAAATAGTATTTTTACACATAAAGAGTAGCTCTGACAAATGCTCACTGAAGTAATTAGGATCAGTCCTAAATGGCACAACTATTATTCTCACATTCTTGTTTTTGCTTCAGAAAAAGAAAAAAAAAAAAAAGGAATCTTGCTACTTACCCACCGTGGCAAGTCCATAACAAGTCCATAATTAGAAGTGATAAATCTGAAGTTTGTTTTTTCTTTTTTAGAAATAAAAAAGTAATACCTGGTAGAAACCTGCTGTTTCTACCTGCTAATAAAAAAAGCAGGTAGAAACTCTTATGTACTGCTGTAGCAGGTAGGTAGGTAGCAGTGTGCTTAAACTCAAATCTCATGTTTAAATAGCTTACAATTTATGTTGTTGGGACACTGATTTTTTCTTTTTTGCAAGAAAACAGTTGATCCAATTGCAGTAATTAAAGTTGTAAAGTTCTGAAGTTGTTGGTTTTTTTAGCACAGGCTCTGCTTTTTGGCTTTTAAGATAGCTCCTTGACATTTTTCTTTTTTGAACAAGCAGCTCCAGAGCTCCAGGTTTATGCATTATCTAAAGTGAATATGCTCAAGATATTTTATTGTTGAACTTACTGAAGAGTAATCATCACTCTGTGCTTAACTCCATGCCTTAGTATAATCCAAAATTACAAACAAAACTATGTGCAATCTGCTTGTTATGTTGAAAAAAATAGCGGGCAGAAGTATAGAAATATAAGTACTTTGAAATTTATAAATTCTAGAATTCAGTAGAAGCTACAAGCAATCAATAAGTGCACTAAAATAATAATATAATTGGCACAAAAGGAGTAATAAGACCGTATCTATTTAAGAAAATTACAGCTTGATTAGTTCATGCAAATTTGCAGAAGAATGATAAAGAATAAAACGACAAAGGTTTTAATAAATGTTCCTAACAACAATTTCTTCTCCTTTTCCCTGCATCCTTTCTCGATCTTTTTCCTTCTCTTGCAATTACTCTACATGTTTGCTTGCTGCCTTTCCTATAACCTTAACACATTCCCATTTCTGCTCTAACACATTCGCTAGGAGACTGCTGTAGTGCTTTGCTTCTCTTCCAGACACTCCGGAGAACTCCTTGTTACCTCTCTATTTCACCCACAGTGTGATGGATTCCTCACTTATTTAGGAAGAGAGGGAAGGGGTAGGTGCAGGGAGAGGCCAGAGGCTAGGGCTGGGGTTTGTTCTCCATCTGATGGAGTTGGGCCTGCCCCTTTCTTTCTCCCCTTCCTTCCTTCTCTCCCCGTGGATTCCAAGACCTTTCCCGTTGAGGCCATACACATGCACGCGCTAGGCCAGATGCCAGCCTCGCTGCTGAGCATCGCCTTGGCGACCTCGGGCCTCCCTGCGTGAGGGGGCCTCCATTCCCAGACCCCTGGGCGCAGGGGAGGGAGCAGAGGAGAGGGCGGAGCAGACGGGAGTGCAGTGGCCGAGTATTGCACCTTGCGAAAGAACGGACTCAGTCTGGGATGCAGAGTGAGACAACTTTATTCTCAAACCATCTCCTTTTTATACTCTTTTAACACAAGTGTTGCTAAAATTACAATCAATCAGCATCTTGCCAGCCGTGCAGTTGTGGTTATCTTCTTCTCCTTGCTTTGTTCCTTATCTGCTAACAAGACATTCCACATGTGGTTGTAGTCCTCCTCCTTTTCCTGCTCTGCTTCTTGCTGACAAGACATTAGTCCTTGCGGGTCAGCCCATCAACCGTGCACTGCTAAGGCATTCTTGTGATTAACTATCTACTAACAAAGCATCTATTATCTACTGAGAAGGTACTATGCCTCCACAGCCGAGCCCTGTGGAGGAGCGAGCAGGGGAAAGGGCCCCCGGCACCTCCCATTGCACAGAGCGCCAGAAGAAGAGAGCAATACTCTTGCTCCTGGACATCCCTCTTGCTGGCAGTGCATCTCTCTATCCCAGAACCAGTCCTAACGTGAAATGGGATGAACATGAAACAGTTTAAACTAAAAATGTATAAAGACTAATCTGACTGGAGCAGTAAACATGCATTTTTCCCCCATTTTTAAAGTAACTACTTTTTAAGTAACATACTTTAAAAATAAAATTTGTAACAAAGACTTTCTTATATAAGCACTGTAGAACTCATTATCAGGTCCACAAGAACTCCCAACAGTTATTAAGCATTGGTTAATTATAGTAACATTTGTATTATATACTAGGAAGCTAAAAAATGAAGCAATTCTCCATCCAGTTACAGTGGCTGCAGAATTTACTTTCTATTTATAAAAATAGGAAAGCTAGTTATTCCTTGCTAGCATTTACCATCTTCCTCACAGCATTTCAAACTGTATAAATGCACACTTACCACAACCAAGTATTATCATCTAGTTTTACAGACGGAAGAGCTGAGTTAAGGATCAGATGCTTCACATGTTAGGTTTCCATTTGCAGTTTCATGTTGTGCCTGTAGCCTTTTGTCTGGCTACTACAATGATACATATAAATCAAGCAGCTCAGGGAGCAAGTCTGCTGAGCTGAATTTGGTGGGTACAAATCTTACTGGCACTAATGGCTTCTGCCGAAAGGACAGGTGTGCCCTAACTGAACAAAAGGGTACGTATGCATTATGTGATCAGTTTTATACTTTGCAGATTTGATCAGAGTCTGGAATACAGCCTTGATCTCAGTACAATAAGTGATTATCTAGAACGGGTTCGCTGTAATGCCAGTGCAGGTATTTCCTCCTTTATAAGATACAAGTATGATATTTCTGTAATGACAGTCATTTTGAGGCAATATTTTATTTTGCCCGGCCATGTTTCTAGTTTTAGATTTTCATATTATCTACATTCAGGCAGTTCTTTTACATGCTTTTTCAGGCAAAATGGACATCCAGAGCAAAAGGTGGGCAACTTTCATTATATTCTGTACATACAAAGTTGGAAAACAAAATAAACATGCAAACTGTCAGTCATGTTTTGGAATAGACAGTCCCATATAGGGGTCCATAGGAGGAGATCATAAAGTAAAGGGATCCATTTCTTGACCTCTTGAATTGCTTTGAAGACAAGATTCCAAGAGGAAATATTAGCAGCATCTAAGACAGCTGGTTCAGGCCTCCGCATGAAGTATGGAAGTTACTTGACGACTAGAAATCGTAAAGAGAGGCACCGTAACTACACCTGTTTGGAAAGGGAGAGTGTTGCCATTTCAGACACTCTTGCCCAGAGGGTCAGAATTCTCCCCGAGCAGAACTGCACATTCACTTAAAAACCACCGTGCAGCCCTGCTGGTGCAATGTGATGAACAAATGCCTCAGCAGATGCCACACTGAGCACCCCACTATTCAGACGCATTAAGACCAGCCAAGAATTAGGATTAATGTCACAAGTTTTGCAAAGCTTCTAAAAGACTCTAAATGCCTAGTCATACAATAGCGAGCATTTTCTGCAACCAGCTAACAGCATTTAATCTATCTTAGTCCCATGGCTTGGGACAGAGGTAAACTCGGGTCATTCCATTAGGAATTGAAGAGCGCTCTCCATGCAACCTACTTGTAGCAAACATTATCAACATCACTTGAGAGTGCTGTTTCCTTTCTTATCATTATGAATTAGGTACAGATTTCTAAGACATATTTTTCAGACCATGGTAACTCTGCTAATTACAAACTCCACATATTACCTCTGTAGAGTATAGGAAAAGCCACACTGCATCAGACTGATAATCTTTCCTTTAACACGTGTTCACATAGCACAGAAAGCCATTGAACTCATAATAGTTACGTGGTGACAAGCAAGAAGAGTGGGATGTGAAGACGATGGCAGTATGGGCTGCAACAGAGGGCCAACATATGCTGGAGAGCTCTAGATGTCCTGGTTGTCAAAACTCTTCCCACAAAATCATTTTCATGATGCTGAGTTTATAGTCTTTAATCTCAACTGTATGAAGTATATGTCCTTGTGCTTAAATTTACTAGGAATTGCTGCCCTGGATAGTAAAGCATCAGGGAAGATGGGAGTCCGAGCAGTAGTCTACTACATGAGCACCACGATCATTGCTGTACTGATTGGTATAATCATTGTGGTCATCATCCACCCTGGGAAAGGCACAAAAGAAAACATGCACAGAGAAGGCAAAATTGTGCAAGTGACAGCAGCAGATGCCTTTCTTGATTTAATCAGGTATGGCACATTGATATTGTGATATTGCACATTTTCTCTCCAAGTAACAGCAACCATAATATGTAGAGTCACACTGTGACAGCAGAGAATATTAGACAAAATAGTAGAATATTAGACAATGCCTGAATAAACTAGCTAGATTTTTTGACTAGGTGATACCAACATGTCTAACACCAACGACTCTACAAACTGAAGAAGAGTATCTGGATTTATTTTCAGAGCAGACTAAGTTGTAAGGATAGAAACTGCTATTAAAATAGAAGCAACATTACACACACACACAAAAAACATTTCTGTCCTATCTGCATGAGTCTCTCTCCCCTCCTTCCACAGTCCTATTACCAAATTCCTCTGCTTTCCTTTACTTCCAACTTTTGGCAGATTTCTCACTTCACCTGAAACCCTGATTTAGTTATTCAGCTTCATTTTGAATTGTAGCTCCCCAACTGGGTCCATCTTCTTAACTTTGTTAATTTGTAGGTACGGGAAGGGAATTCCAGCTACAGACAAGTAAAATGCTTGAGATGTAAGAGCTGGTTTTCTCCATGCTCAGGGAAGCTCTGCAATGCCTCTGGATACAGCTAACCTGTCACAGATGTATTCCAGGGAGTAGGGAGGCTGGGCTTTTGAACTCAGAAGCTTTTCGCAGGTAAAGACCAAGCATCTGTGTTATGCTAAGCTCTTTGGAGAAGCCAGAGACATGGAGAAAGTCTTCCAAGTGTCATACTGCCAGGAAGGGGGACCCCAGAAACACCCATGAAGAAGTATACCCTCCAATTCCCCAAGATTTATTCAATTAGGCTGCCCCTAATTCCATCAGAAAGTCACCATTAAGGAAAATAAACAAAACCTCCCTATGTAAAACATATACATACACACACACACACACACACATAAACTTATACATGTATGTGCAACTTACTAAAGAAATTCAAACATTAGGAATATTAATCACAACAATATAATAGATTAATAAAATCAAGACTAAAGGTGACTAAAATCATTTGAGAAGTGGAAGTGCACTAAATATTAATGTTTTTTTTTATTAATCTGTATTCAGACATCATTAATCAATACAAAATTCAAAGTAGGCTCAGTGCCACAGAGCTGTTTGTTTGGCAGCTTAGCTAATACTGTCCTTCATAAGGCGACTTGCTATACAGCACTGGAATCCAGAGACTGTAATCAACATTATTGACCCAACCCTACTGTATCTTGTCCTGATGAAGCCACCCAGGCCAAAGGTATACGCAAATCTCTGGTCACTGTATGCATAAATACCTACATATTCATGTTAGGACTCCCTTGGTAATTAGCTGATTTATTCCTTTATATAGCTGTGCCATTACTTAAGATATTAGTACAATCTCATTACTTCTCATGTTCTTTTCTTTCCCTTTCACAGAAATATGTTCCCTCCAAACTTGGTGGAAGCTTGCTTTAAACAGGTAAAAATGTTTTGCTATTTCCAAATGACACTATAGTACCATAGCATCATATAATAAAATCAGAAAGTGAAACGTAATAGTGTTTTCTTTAGGAATACCATATGCTTGCCCTTGTACTTAGAGCAGTGACAAAGCTTACATAGCCTGACAGCTGTCACCAAAACCCCTCCAGTCAAATCTGTGCCTTGTTTTCATTCATTCCCTCTCAGTGCTTGCTATGAGAAGTTGAGAAAACCCACCTGGCTCAGGAGTCTGTATCATGTTCCAGAATATCCTACAGGAATATGTGTGGGTTAGAAACCTGGGCAACAGCCCTGTGGGCATCAAGAACAAAATCAAAACAGGGGACTCCCTGTCACCTATGATAGGAATGCCAAAAACGGCGCTTACTTGCTCCCCAAATTTCCCCTTCACCAGCCTACTTAACTTTAACTTCTTGTTAGGAATAAAATAAAGGTAACTCATTCAATTAAAAAAAAAAAGAACATAAAAGAACATAAAAGAACATTCTTAAAAGAACAATATATATTCAGTGAAAGGTATCACATAGATTGGCACCATCTGATAGCTTCATACTGACCCCACAGCCAATCTTGAATGGATATTGTTTACAGTTATTGCTGTGGCACAAAAAAAGCCAGAATGTGGAAGTCAAGAAGCCAGAGGATAAAGTAAAAATTCTCAAAAGTTGGTCTGTGTTACAGCTTGCAGGATAATTCAAAAAACACAGTAAAAGTTTCTTTAGTCATATAAACAGAGACCAATAAAAAGCAGTGACCTTCCACATTAAGATTTGTTGAAGATTAAAGATAAACTATACCTAGCCCTAAAAACAACAAATCCATATCTCTCCTTTCAGTAACAATATGTACCTTTCTCCAATTTTGCTTTCTATAAATGAACTTAAAGAAAATGTAAGAGTATTTTTTGTCTAAAACCTCACCAGGCAAAATATCTCTGCCTTAAGACAAAATGGCCCGAACTTGTCCTCTCCTCGGAAATGAGAGGACTTCTATGATGCTGTGCTAGCCCTTCACAGAACATCAGTGTAGGTGTGGAGACTTCTAGTAAAGCATAACCAGCTCTGCACTGTGCTTTTACATGAGCAGTTTTTCTTTGTCTAATTTCTTCCAATATAAAACGGCACAAAAGAACGAGGAGTTGCAGAATCACAATATGATATTAAAATGTCAATTTGAACTAGATGAACTCTAGGACAGTTCATGAGATTTCTAGACTCAGATTTCTGGAGACAGTTAATAACTCCTATTCCCACCAAGATCCAGTACAGATCTGCCTGAAAGTGGGGATCAGCTCACAAAATTATCTGCCTCACCAGTATTTCTGCAGAGAAAGTAATACCCAATTCTGCTTTTCCCTCATCTATTTTAAAATCTTTTGACATTTTCTCTCCACTTGAAGGTGTTTTTTCATCTGTTGACCTCAGGGCTGGCTTTTTCACAGAAAATTCTCTTTGTGTGAATCAAGCAGTCTTGTATTTTGCCTTTTGTCATCTGAGAAGGCACTAACAGAAACCGAAGCTCAGCCTCCACTTTTTCCTAGGCAGAAAACTGCTTTTCAGTTCCTTTATTTGGTTTTCCTCAATTTCTTCTGCTTCACCAAGAACTTTCTCATGACCACTTCTGATTGATAGATGTCTTTGGGTACAAAAAGATGGATGCATCTGCAAAGTTAACCTTAACCTCATGTATCCATAAGAAGAGAAACACTCTCTCAGAGCAAATAAAGTTGCTCTGGTTCCTGTTGCTCGAGATGTCCCTTTTGAATTTCACTCTGAACAATCTTTCTGCACTGTCCTGTGAAGGGTTCGAGGAAGGTCTTCTCCCTAGGCTAAAGCTAACATTTGTGAATACCTACATCTTACCAACAGAGGTAGTCAACAGAAAAGGTCTCTGTGTGCCACTCTCATAACTGAAATTGCAAAAGACTTTGCATTGCTAACAGAAGTCCTAAAATCCCTACTATGGCTCTGAAGAAACTACTAACTTATAAAGGACCGAAGGCGTCTTTCCTCTGGAGCACAATCCCAGAATCAATGCAAAAGAAAAAAAGAAGGAATATGCTTATTACCTCCTAAGATGTTTTCTAACTGGATTTTCAAAAGAAAGACACATTACGTGATATGCTTTTTCCTGTCTAGCTGCCCAGCTCTTTATCTGGCCCTGCTCATAATTCTGGGGCCCAGTGGCCAATTCCAATCTAATTCTGAAACGGGGGAGAAGTCTCAGCAAAACCCCAGACTGTGTTGCCACTGAGAAAACAAAACAAAACAAAAAAACAGTTACAAGAGCTCCTAACCTGTCCTGACAGGCAACTAACTGCCTGTCCACACTGTCAAACAGCTGCACAACATATTGCTTTTGACCTAGTCAGAAAGGTAGGAATGAGATAAAAATCTGAGGGTCATGGAGGAGAACTGTGGAGAAGCTAGTTACTATGTGTCTGAGGAAAGTAGGAAATCAAGCTTCAAATCCAGTGCTCATTAGGCAACTAGCTTTCCCAAACCCAGCATACTTACTCCTTTCTCACTTTTGCCTTAAGTGAATTCAACTAGGTTTCTTTTCTACTTAAAACCAGAAAAATATATAACTAACATATCCATATACATAAAAAAAGAAGTGTTGTACAGTATTTAAATGGCAGTATTTAAGTGGTATTGTCAGGATCGAAAGAAGATTCCATTGTCGTTAGCTTCTAGATAATTTCCATGGGCACTCTGCCACTCTCTGCCACCTGCCCAGGCAATGCCGTTCCCTCCTTCTCTGGCTGTGCTGTCCCACTCTCAGTGTTTTGCCATCTCTGGCACTCAACTGATTACTCAGGAGCAATAAGTGGCTCATGGGGAGATCAAAGTAGAACTGGCGCAAGAAAAGAAAGTATCACAAAATGGATGGGAGCGGGTGAGGGAATGAAACTGCTTTTCAAGGTCAGCCAACCACCATAACAGCTCAGCTCTCATCTAACCACAGCTTTTGTCCACATTTCATTTAAAAGTCAAGAAGAGCCCACCCTCATGGACACTTTTTCTGCTACATGTTATTCATAAATTTTCCATAAAGCAGCTCATACTTGAAATTCTAAAGATCTTTAAGCTTTCAAGGGATACAGCAAGTATCTGTTAGGAGGACATCAAAACTATTCAGGTATGGAAAATAACAGAAACTCTGATGGATGCTTCTAAATGCTGAAATTCGGGTTTTCCATATTAGTCAGGTGTACATAAGCTCCATTTCACTCAAATACTTTCAAGGTGCAAAACAGTCCTCAAGTATTACAAATATTAAAGTTCCTAGCCTTTATCTTTGGTTTTTTTTTTTTTTTTTTTTTTTAGGCAGACCCAAATAAATTCAAATACCAAGTTGCTGAATAATCGCAACTTTCTTTAATATGGTATGTAGCATCACATCCCAAGGTAAATTTGAAACAATTTTGTAGAGCTATTTGGTAGGCTTTATGCACAAAAGAGTGTAAACAGCACAGGGATACAGAGCTTTTTGGAGCCCAGAGAGAAATAAGCAGGATATGCATCCATGTTTGGAAAAATAGTAGGTGATTGAAGCCTGGTTTTCAAAGTAGAGATTCAGTAGTATATTCAGATATTGAATTTGATTTGCCTGTCCCATAATGGGAGCACTTTAGGAAGAAATCTTTTCCTAATAAAAGAGGCAAGTCATAACTGTTAATTTATTACTGCAAAAGCCGACAAAATCAATGGCTTTGCCACAGCAAAGTCCTAATTTTGGGTTTAAAAAAGGAAGAAAGTGGTATGTTACATTTAGGTTGTTTTCAGTCTTTATCTTTTATTCAAAATGATGAAAAAGTAAGGAAATCCTGGAGCCCATCAAAAGATTGCAACTATCCATAAAACACCTATTTTTTAACAGAAGAATGTTGGGAAAAATAACAGTTTATAAAAACACAAACTAAGAATCCATATTTTTGTCACAAAATTCAGGAGTTTGATAAACATTCATAGTTGATTTTGACTTATGTATGTGAGATAGTGAGCTCCAGAAGCTAAAGGTTAAGCTTTAGCTCCTGCAGTTAATACATTTTTTTATGTTGCTTTCAGTAAAACCAGGTTTTCATCACTATTCACTTTACCAATAAATGTTACATAAAGAATTCAAATGTCCTCCAATAATAATCATTTAATGTGTGATGATTTTTAGCTTTGCTAGAATTCACAGTAATTCCTAACACCCTTCTCTTTTCTTTTTGTTTCACTAGTTCAAAACTAACTATGAGAAGAGAATGTTCAAAGTAGGGATTCCTCCCAACGACACGTCCACAGTGGCCTCCATAATAAGTAACATGTCAGAAGCAATGGAAGCCCTCACCCGAATGAAAGAGGAAATGGTTCCTGTTCAAGGCTCTGTAAATGGAGTGAATGCCCTTGGCTTGGTGGTTTTCTCAATAAGCTTTGGCCTGGTCATTGGAAGCATGAAGGAGCAAGGTCAGGCATTAAAAGACTTCTTTGATAGCCTGAATGAGGCTATCATGCGATTGGTAGCTCTAATCATGTGGTAAGTGCCTCTGATATATTCTATGTTGTCATTAGTAATATTTTTTCATCACAGACATCCACTGAATAGCAAGAGTCTCTGCCAGGAAGTCAGAAAATAATATCTTCATTGTATTCTAACCTTTGATAAATGAACCGAAGGATTGTAATTCTGTAGATCAATAATTTGCCAAAATATACCTACCCTTTCACAAGAGCAATTAAAATTTAGCAGTCATGGCAGAATTTGCTCAGCTTATACAGGCCCATTCTATATCTTCAAAAATAGACAGCAATCAGAGCAATATGCCACCAAAGATTCATTGTAACCTACTCTGATTTCACTAAAGAAATTTTAAAAACCTCTTGCATAATCTTATCTCTGTGCAGTAAGACCTCATTAACATTACTTTGCACCACAACTGGTTCCTGCAATTGTGTAGCATATAAGTACAAAAACTAGAAATAACTATATTTTTCCAATAAGTAAAATTCTGTTCTGTCCAGAAACATCTACACAGAAGTCTTTTGTCCTTCTTCATAATCACAGTTAAAGTAATGAAAGAGTGAATGGGAATTGTTACTTTTGAGAAGTTTCTACATGGATTTGGTGGCTAAATGTGTAACTGAGATAAATGGCGGATAAATGGTGTTCTGTGGTCACTTAGTATAAAAGGATAAGAGGACAATCATGGAAACAGGGCTGTATCAAAAGTCCATCTATAACAGAATTGTGTTTCTAAAGATCTTCAGGAGTTTGACACAAAGACTTCATTTGTAGCTGCACTTACCAGAGAGGCAAAAGTAGCTTTTGCCGCCCTTGCAGCTGCCCCACAATGTAGCCGATCTCTTTGTACAAGTAGATTCCTGCTAGATATCTAAAAGGCATGCTATAAATATTCTTTTCCTGACTTTCTCTTACCAGATCCTGAATCCAACAGAGCCTATCAGAAATGTTCACTGCTGTGATTTCATCTAGGTTGACTGCTAAGAGTTAAAGAGTTAAGATCTTTAACTGCTTCTGAATAATTACAGTCATCCAACCAGCAATATCCTACATCCACACATGCATCTAAACTGGAAAAGGTGTGGATGGAGGAGTGGATTTCTACTTTGTTCAGTACTATGTTGATTTGATTTCCTGTTTGCAGGTATGCTCCACTTGGAATCCTCTTCTTGATTGCTGGAAAAATTGTTGAGATGGAAGACATGGGTGTGATTGGTGGTCAGCTTGCCATGTATACTGTAACAGTTATCATCGGTTTGCTAATTCACGCTGTCATCATCCTACCTCTTCTCTACTTCTTGATCACTCAAAAGAACCCTTGGGTATTTATTGGAGGACTGATTCAGGCACTAGTTACAGCTTTGGGAACATCTTCCAGGTACAAAATGACATTTTAAGGCTTTATAATTTTTAATATTACAGGTTTGAGAAACAATTTTGCTTAATATAATTGATCAACTGCATATTCATAAACAAAAATTTATTTGGACACTCTATTCAGTTCTGCTGCTCTCTGATATAGAAGACATCATTATATTGATTTGATGCGTTTATTTTTATCTTCTATAAGCACCCTGGAGCAGGGTTGAAGAAGGTCTGTTTGGCGATGCAGCCTGTATGGCTGGAAGCCTTGTGACTGTGATTAGCCTTGGTGTTTCAGACTTATAAGTGATTTATCAAGGATTTCTAAATGGTTTGTTAGCAAAGGATGAAGTTGGAAAGCAAAGTTTTACATTTGTGTAGGGCAACATGGTGAGATAAACAGGAATATTTGGGGGGAATCCTGAGGGAGAGTGTGAGAGCCTTTCTTTACAGGTGAAGTTCTAGGTTCCAAATCATAGCCTACGACAGAGAAGATGCTTTTGCTCCTTCAGATGAACGAAAATACTGCTCGTTCTTATGATAAAAGGAGGTGCTATTGTATTGAAATATAAATTTCTTGTATTATATGACCATTAATGAAACACCAATTTAATAAATTTAAGTGTGCCCCTAGATGTTTTCAATCCACAGTTCCTCATAACTATATCTAAGATAACAGTGTTCGGGTTTATTTTAAAGATCTGGATTTGAAGCTATTTGGATCATTAATGTGGAATCCGATTAAGTTTTTTAACACTGTAAAAGCTTTTGAGGGCTTTAAGAAAATTATGCCAGTAGTATAGAAGTAGTAGTATAGACATTAGTAAATGGGCAAAGGAGATAATTATTCATTTCACATTTGACATTTTTATGTCAATCTTGGCAAATTAGTGGAATGTCTGGAAGGGATTTGATTAATAATGATTTTAAAATTAAGGTAATGTAACTAATGCCAGTCACATAGTAAAATTAAGAGAAAATAAATAATGGCAAATTAAATGAGTATCTATTTTTATGAAACAAGATTGGTGGGTCACAGTAATAGCATTAATGAGGTATGTTCAGACTTCTGTAAGACTCTCCATGGGCACTGCTCAAGACCCTAGTAAGAGCCTACACAAATGCCAGATCAAGAGGACATACTGTAAGTGGATTAAAAACTGCTTAAAATTCAACTGTAAGTTGATTGTCATCAAAATATTATAGCTTTTCTAGCAGAGTCATACAAGGTCTTTACATAACATTTTATCAGTGATCTGAATAAAAGATAAACGCAGCATTGATAAAGACTTCAGAGATGAAAGTATGCGAAGAGACAGGTCATTGAGAGAGAGCAATCTAAATGGCTGGGTCTTGAAAAACCTCTTAATTCTGATGTAATCAGATGCAGGGGCCTATCTTTAGGAACAAAGAGCACAAGCCACCCTTACAGAGCGGCCACATTATCCTCCATTCAGAAGGGATGTCTCTGAAGAGGAACTGACCTCATGTTGGCTCAATGGGCACTGCAGCATAGCATGAAAAAAAAAGTGACCAGTTGAGTTGAGCCTTCAATGAAATGACTATATGATATTTGAATGTACCAAGAGGGGGACAAGATTAAGGTGGTAAAGCAATGTAATCATCCATCAGAATGCCTTGTCCACAGGATCCACCAAATAGCCATGAGAGCTATTAAAGGAACAGAAAACACACTGAGGGTTTGAATAGTTCAAGTTGTTTAACAATGAAGAACATTGCTTAGGATTGATTTAATCAGAACCCCTGGGCACTAAAACTGGGGAGCAGGAATTTTTTAATAGAGTCTTCTGTCTAGCATGCCAAAGTATAACTGAAGTTAAACAAATTAAGACAATGGACTATGTGGAGAGGGACAGTAATTAACTCCTGGAAAAAAACTTTCCAAAGGCATCAGGAGAATCTCCACCATTAGAAGTGCTTAAATCCAGCCTGGGTATTTTTATTTAAATAGACTGGTAGTTGACATAAAAAATAAATCATTGGTTGTCAAGAGACAATTCGAACAGACAATTGTCAGACAGTCTCTTTTGTCATTATAATGCATGACAATCTGTTTTTCTCCCTCTCCGTGGAATTTTTACTGTGTATAATTCTCTTTTTTTCCAGTTCTGCCACACTACCTGTTACATTTAAGTGTCTAGAAGAAATAAACGGAGTGGACAAGCGAGTTACAAGATTTGTACTCCCAGTTGGTGCTACAATTAATATGGATGGAACTGCTTTATATGAGGCTTTGGCTGCAATTTTCATTGCACAGGTTAACAACTTTGATCTGAACTTTGGTCAGATTATCACAATCAGGTACAGAAGCCATTATTACCTACATCTGTTAAAAGCACCTTTGTGATGACTCCTTCTTGCCAGTAGATGAGACATTAAACAAAAATGTCTAGAGCTAAAGGCAAGAACTACAGCTACAGTAGCTGAATAAATATAATGATTTACATCTGCACAGAAGAGACCCCACAGCACATATTCTTCATTAGGTAAACCTTTAAAAAAACGTAGCATGATTCACCTATCACTGCACTTAGAGACAGCAGGAGCAGCTTTTAACAACTTTTAAATTTTCTCTCCTAAGATCCCGTGCAGCTGTTGGGAGCTGTAGACGTGCAGTCAGTACCAGATGCTTATAACACGCATACAGAGCACTGCAAGAACAGCACAGCGGCATGGCACAGAGCTAATGCTGGCAGGGGAACATTTTCTTAGTCTGGATGGTCTCAGGATGAAAGCAGAGCACGATATATAGGGAGCAATAGCACCTTTCCTTACACCAATGGATAGAGCTAGAGAAGACAGAGGTGCTTTCAAATACACACACCTTCCCATTTCAGAACAGCAAACAAGCCACTAAGCGCTGCTTGGTGATAACCCATCTGCAGTAATTTCATTATGTTAATCAAATAGTCAAAAGGAAAGGATGATAAATACATGAGCAAAAGAGAAAGATGTCAGCAGGAGGGAGAGAGATACTGTAGGACAGAGAGACAGATATTTATCATGCGGGAACGTTGAAAGTTCAGATATAGCAAATTGGGATTGTAGAAGGTTATCAAAAAGACAGACTTCTCTCCAAAAGACCCATCTGCTTAATTTAGTATTCATCAACAGGTGACAAAACTGCTTTCACACTGTCAGGAGGCACATCCTGAGTCTAAGGCAAAAGTTTCACACTCATTAGGACTAGAGGGGCTCTCTGCCAAACCACTGAACAGAACAAACTTTTCCTGAAGTGGGTGTGAACAAGCGCATCTCCGTCAGATACTCTCTGGGGTGCATCAGGGCTCCTGCCTGCCTTCTGCTGGCTGAATACCAACATCTGTAGAAGAGATGACACTGCACCTGGTGCAGAGGTGTAGTGACGTGGCCAGGCAGTACAAACACCCGTATTAGGTTTGCCAGGACAAAGTTACCTCTTCAGCTTTTCTTTTAACTTGTTTGAGCTTGAAGATTGAATTTATTTAACAGGTGATGACAAGTAGTCCTTAGCATCCAACAGAGGATTTACTTTCACAAAACCATGTTTGAGGGTTCTGTTTAAAGGTTTAGTATAAACACTTTGGATTAAGATCAACACTCTTCTGGAGCTATGCAGAAGTGTTCGGATTAGGGACTGCACTTATCTCTTTCATTACTAGTGGGAAATTGTTTGTTTTTTTGTTTGTTTGTTTGTTTGTTTTTGCTTCACATCTGTTTTTAAAGTTCATCAGATGATAAGGAGAGTTTATTGTGGAAGTCAATTAATTACTCTTGCCTTCTCTACGCACAGCATCACAGCTACAGCTGCCAGCATTGGGACTGCAGGTATTCCTCAAGCTGGACTGGTCACCATGGTCATTGTGCTCACATCCGTAGGCTTGCCTACAGATGATATCACTCTTATCATCACAGTGGACTGGTTCTTGTAAGTATTTTTGATGAAACTGCTAAGGGCTTAGGCCATATTTAAAAGCACAGCAGTCAGGGATATTCTGACAATACTGTGATCAGTGGGACTCTTCTTCTGCTATGGAAAGGAGTTGGGAAAAAAAAAGTGTTAAAAATCACAATTTCTTGCAATTGAAGTCTTACAGCAGATGGTGAGGCATGTTATTTAATGATGGTTCCTTTTGCATACAAAAGGGTTGCTTAGAAACTGGGTTTATTAGGATCCTAGGAAAACTTTCAGACACATTGCATGTAATTCAATTATTAAAGAAATTACTTTAGTTTTTAATTTATTGTAGGTTGTTAAGGAAAACCTTTCCATCAATCAGGCTTAGAGTATGGGAGCTCTCGTGCAACTCTGACCCAGTTCATTGCAGCCCTGCTGGTTACTTAATCCAGGGAAGGTCCATGTGTCTTCCCTGTGAACTCAGAAATGAAAACTTCTGAGTAACTGTCCTATCCAGCCAGCACCATGTATTGCGTATCATTTTCTCCATCCCTCTGCATGTAGAAGACTAATGGACAGCTGTAGGTATATGAGGAAAACCCTTACATCCAGGAACTAAACCAGAGGCTGAAGGCTTCCTCTGACCTCTATTTCTGACCTCTATTAGTTATAGTTACCAGAGGATTCTTCCCTCTCAAAGAGAGTCCCACAAAAAGTCGTCCATGACTTTATCAGAACGTAATGTCTTCAGATAGTTACCCAACCAGATGCCCAAAGCCTTAAGTAGGTGGACACTCACCAAGTAAGGAGGCAGTCACTCCTTGTCAAGCTGTCTCCTACATCTTCTGGGCAGAGAGTTCATTAAAACTGAACTGGTGTAGTGTACAAAATTTCAGAGGGATGTCACCCTAAATTGCTGGCCGTAGTTAATAGTCACGAGGGAAATGACAGTAGGAAGGTAGACTCTCATTGGCTCACATCTCAGGAGCTTCTAAACACCAATCGCCATAGCACAGAAAGCATCTACCATATGGTCCCTTTATCACCCTCATTGCACATCTATTCTTTCTTGCTGTGAAGTTGCTAGGAATATTAACATGTTTTGTGTCACTAAATCTGGTATATTTGTTAACTGGAATCATGACATTAACTGTTCAGATAAATTAATACACATAACTGTCAAATCATCTAGTAGCTATTCTCAAAGGCCATTTTAATAATTAGGCTGCATGTATCCCTGAGCAAGTGGTAAAATCAAGGCTGATTTACTGTTTCTCCGTAGGGATCGTCTCCGTACCACTACCAATGTCTTGGGAGACTCCATTGGAGCAGGAATTGTTGAACATTTATCACGGCATGAGCTGAAGAACAGGGATGTCGAGATGGGTAATTCTGTGATAGAGGAAAACGAAATGAAGAAACCTTACCAGCTGATCTCGCAGGAAAATGGGAGTGAGAAACCCTTAGATAGTGAAACCAAGATGTAGAGTGAAGAAGGCATGAGTCTAACACTGCAAGTGTGGAAAGCTTATACTTTTTCCAGCCATTTGTATCTTGAATTCACCAAGCCCAGTTAGTCCTTGTTTTTTCCCTTCATGCTAGCATTGGAAAATAATTAGTGAAAATCTATTCCAAATTAGCAGTGATCAAGGTATATGTTGGCTTCCCACTTAAAAAAAATTAACAGGCAACACGACTGGTCCTGCTAGACATGTGCTAACTGATGATACAGAAAGCAAGATTGTCTATTAAATCATAAAGCATATGAGTGTATATGTTAGTCCTGTAAATGTGATCTTTTTTTTTTTTATGAACTGGAAAGTAAAAACAGATAACAGAGCCTGAAAATGGTTTTATTTTTTAAAATTCCTGTTGCAAACATCCTAACATATATAAGCACACAATCAACATTTTTAACTTGATAACTGAATCCAGCTAAGTTAATTAACAGCCTTTTTGCTTTTTTATCTGATGTTATTTTTCTGTAGCATTACATCCTTGTTTAATTACTAGCAGCACAATAAAAAGAAGGACATTAAAGGACAGGATAAAAAAGGAGATGTATAGATAAAAACAACAACAAAACAATCACCACATTCATCAGCTGAGTTGAAATACCATTTCTGAGAAAATGATTTCACCTAGACACAATTTTTCACATTAGCCTCAGCTGATCTTAACGAAAACTTAGCCTACTTAGCAATCAGCTCCCACTGATTGCAGGCGTTTAGGTATGTGTATGTATGTATGTTTGTACTTTCACCTGGATTTGTCCCCTTCTCTTCAGCACTACAACTCAGCTGAACTATGTGTGTGCATAAGAACTCACAGGAGCAAAGCCCTAGACTGTACTGTCTCTGGGACAGGATATGTGACTTCCTCTATGTTTGAAAAGAACATAGCATGCTGTGGATCTGCCAGTTATCTACTTAAGAAAAAAATAATATCAATAGAAGACAGTGCCAGCATTTTGCAGAAGGTACAGAAGGGTGAGACACTCAGCTCCTACTAGGACTTGGTATTAAATCAGTCTGTGCTGAAGGGACATTGCTAGAATCCTCAAGACCAAGAGGAGATTTTCCAACTGGAAACCTCCCAAATGCTTGGTCGTTCCACTGATAAGTAATGAAGCTATTAGCTGGATTTATGTTCGTGTTTTTCCATATGGAGAAGAAGGCTCCCTATCTCAATGTGAAGTTTCCAAATCTTACCAGTAGTATCTTGGAAATAAAAAATAATCCTATAGAAAGTAAAGCCAATGGGTGCTTTTTCCTTTTTACTAGGAAAAGTATATAAAATGCAAATAATAAATACTATTATAAATGTTGAAAATGTAATTAGAAAATTTTTTTTAAAGCACAATATTGTATGTTTCCTTCATGGAATACATAAGGAAAGAATGAAGAAAGGGAGTAATGCACTTTTAATCCTGTGGCTTTTTCTGTCCCTTTCAACATTATTCACTGATGAAATCCTTTTCTAGAAATTTAAATTATATATTTTTTTCCTTCTTACCTTGAATTCTTACAGAAGTTTAATGGGGAAGTTTTATAATGCACTTACAATTGGGGAAACTAAGAGATATTAACTGAAAGGCACACTACTGTTAAATGTTCTTTCTTATTCAAGTATTTGGATTTCTTCTTTCTCCTCCATCCTTACTCCTGCTTTCCACCCCAAAAAATATTCAATGAAAGAAATGAAGGATTCCCTTGCAGTGTCCCAGCTGCCACTCAAAAAATGCTCAAGATGTTGCTCTTGTCACTGAAAGAGTATCAGGATGGTGTACAAGAAACTAGTGAAAACATCAGCATGCTGGTTAAAGGCAAATCTTTCCCCATGTTTTGAACAATGAGGAAAGACAATTCCTGACAATTCCTGCCCTTCTTCTTTAGCTAAGTAACCCAGACAATATGGGCAGGAAATCTCAAATGAATGAAGTAAGGAGGGTTAATACAGAGTATTGAACAGTCTGACCTACAAAGCTCTAAATGAATCTCTGACTGAAAGAAAACAAGTGTGTTTTATTTTTTTGCTAACAGAATGCAAATCTAGAATACAGACAGGCATTTCCTGATATGTAATTAGACATATTTTTATATAGATACTGTATTCAGAATGTATGTATAAAAGTTAACTGTAGAATTTATGGCTTAACAATTTAATTCTTGTTAAGATTCTGTTTGGAAATACATTGCAAAGACTTAATGTAAATGATTGTCTTTCTATGACATCAGCTGAGAAAAATGAACTGTGTCACAAAGCATGTGATTTTTTTTTCCTAAGTTTGTTTCTTATGGAAATCAGGTATTATAGAAAGATTCCTTTCCCCATCCCTCGCTGGTTCTGCATTGATATGCACCCAGAGTGGTTTGAGAAACATTACTTTGTAGATGTATTTTCAATAAAATAGTTTTACATTACTGCTTTTCTGTAATTTCTTTCAAAGACTCTGTAACAAAAGAAACTTCAGAAAAAATCCAAGTATCCATTTTCATAATAGGAAATTTCAGGAGTTTCAAGCTATTTTACACAGCAAGACCTTTTCTGCATTCAAATATCTCTTTGGACTTTTATGAACAAAAGTAAATAAATGAATGAAACTGGACACACAAAAGAATCAAGGAAGAAACAGTAGGAATATAAAGAATTAAACTTAGTCCACCTTAAGTATATTCAAATTAAAGCATACAGATTCATACTGGTATATGGAAAATATTATATGGTCGAGCATTTATAATGTCCTTTTTTTGCTGACTCAGCTACATCAAAACTGCCAATTCATTTTGCTTGTGTCTAAAATTCAGCAAGTGTCACTGGGCCATGGCCAGCAGCAAAAAACATTGACCAGTGTATTTAAGCATTGCAACATTGCACTCATTCTCATCACTTCTCTCAAATAAATGGTTTGTGATGGTGTTGAGGTTCATTTGGCAAAAACTTCACCCATCAGCGTTACCATCTGATGAAAGTGAATGTCTTGTCAGAGGGACTGAGAAGGTGTAAAAGACATGAGCTGAACTACTTGCATCTAGGAAGATGTGTTGGTTGGAGCACAAGGAGGCAGCAAGAAGTCCTAACTTCCTGAACATACACCAAGCAAACCCAGAGCAATGGCCTCTGTTAATTTGCCTGTGATATTTTGGATGAAAATAACATATAAGTGCAATAAGTTTTGTAAACATTTTGTTATTTTCAGAGAAGGCAGGATGTTATAAAGCTCACGTACATAAGCATGATTCCCTCCCCCTCTTTTTTTAAAATGATATACGCACTCATCCACTCAATCCAGTAAAATATATTCATGTTCCTGGATTTACTGTCATGATGGGAAGAGCTAAAGACAGAGGTTTAATATAAGACTTAGAGGTCCTAGTGGCACAGTGGCCCTGCTCACTATTCAGAGCCCCCAGGGAGAACAGAGACCTCTGCAATTCCACAGCTTTCCAGCAGAGTTTTCCCTTGGAAGTTGGAGTATAGAACAGTCACCTCATTCTGAGGGAAGAATTTATGTTCCTCTAACAGCTTGTGGCCAGTATAAAGCAAAATGTTCATGCATGTGGAAAATCAGCTACTGGCATGGGAAAATATTTCTGTCTTTCTTTCTGAAGGACTGTACTTGCATAAATGACAACTATGTCCCAATGGAGGCACAAATTATGAGAAATTTAGGGCATTCTTTAACACATGCTTGCTATAAAAAACTTACGCTGGAAATGGTACAGAAAAGTCTATCTTGCTTCTAGTGAGATCAACAGTGTGTACGATTTGCCAGAAAAAAAAAAAAAAAATCTGAGGTGAACTGATAGATCACTCCCTGTCTGGGCTTCTGTGTCTTCATTTTATTAAGAGACTGGCCGACAGTGGAACTACAGAATAATAAACAGGGAGAAAGATGTCTACACCTCCACACCAAGTTAAAAACACAGACTTGCAACTTCAGGAGGCAGCAAGATCCCTCCTGAGACTAAAGCACTGCAGCCAGATTATATAATTCTGTGTGGTAAGTCCTTTTCTTCCAGTCTTTCCCCAGTCAAGCTCTCCAGATGTACCTAAGATACTCAGAGGTATCTAAAATTCCAAAATTTCCGTACAGGAGCACTTGAGTCTGTAACCAAAGTTGTTCTTCAGCACGCTTCATTACACAACTAGGGCTGCACAAATAATTGATTTTTCACTTCAGTGACAGAACTGAAAAACTAGGGAAAATAATAATTCTTGCAGGGCATCCAGAAACATTATTTTATTGCCTTAAAAAAAAGAACAATTTCTATAAGGTATAACGGCATATTTCATTTTCCACTTCTTGAAACATCCTATCTTATTTCTGGATGGTTTTTACTCTAGTTTAAATTAAAACAAAGTCTGCTGTAAAATGAACTGTTACTCTGAAATAAAACAAACTATTTTGTGAGGAAAATGTCAAAATGAAATATTTCAACTTTTCTATAATATCTCTTCACTTTAAAGCCAACTGTATTTACAGAAGTTGGCACGGCTTCACAAGTACTTGACTCAAAACTGCATTTTTCAGCAAGGTATTTTTATATGAGCACTTTTTCTTTGCTCTTTACAATTTCCTTTCTCTGGACACTGCACTTTTTTCTGCTTTTCCTGATTGCCCATATTTTTTTCTTCATTGTACCACTGGCTGTTGTAGTTTTTCAAAACCCCTTAAAAATGATAACAAACAACTCTCCTGGTATTCTCTGTTACTATTATTATTATTATTATTATTATTGCTGTTAAACTTGTGTCCATGTTCTGAATTTTTTTTCTCAGTTCTCTTAATTCCTAGTTTCCATTTTCTCCAGTACCATATTCCTCTCTCCATCTGTCCTTTCTCTCATAGCTCTATTCTTCATTTTTCCAGTTTCTTCTCTAAGAAGTCCACCGCAGTGAATCTTCATAAACCCAGATGCTACTCCTGATAGTATATTCTGCTTCCTCCAGAAGCCAGACAAGTCTCTCAGGGCTTTTGGTCCCTTTGGTATTATCATCTGTATGTGCTGTAGATGCTTGAGGTGTGCTTGAGAATTTATATTAACTTCATAATGAATCCAAATGAATTTATTCATCATAATTGTACATAGCATCACACTGAAGCCTGTGGCCAAAGCCTGTGGCCAAAGGCTTGCTGGTTCCTTCCTCTGGTAAAACTCCCACAAATAGCAAGAGGGAGGAGGATAAAATAAAGAGCTGACTTGGATTTGCCTCAAGGGGA